TCAATTTTTTTCTACAGTTTTCGTACAATTTCGTCTTGTCTGCGATGTCCTACATCTGATTTGTCGACGTGAGTTGGTACATCCAGATGATTTCTTGAGATTAGATAGCATCGCATCATGTCCGATACGACAGGTTCTACTCGTCGGACCTTACCGTTGCTGACAGAACACATCCGATCGTAACTCAATGAATTCGATAACGAGATATCAAAGAAAAATGGTGTAAATCATAGGAGCATGTTCGAAAATGTCCAACCAGATCCAAATGTCGTGCGCAATCTGATTTCAAACCCGTCCAACAAAAATTCGACTGAGCAAGATTCATCTGATTATATTCTTCAACTTCGTTATGCTAATATAAAATACGTAAAATGAATAGTATCTAGTAAATGATATTTGTTGTCCAAGAATTTTGTTAACCATTGGTTTAACTGACAAAACAGCTGATTATATACATTCATCATATCCATAACAAATTTGAATACACTAATTATGTACCTCGATAAATTGGAAAGTACAAATATCTATTATTTTCGAAAATTAGAGCTTGATTAGTGCATTATTTTTGTGTTGGTGAATATGAAAAGTCTAACAAATCAATAGATCACTGTCCATCATCTTTGTTATCTATCATATATTCGTTTATTTGCGCAAAATATTAAGAAAACTACGCTATTCAAACATTCAAAAATGTATTCTAGTCATTTAAATTTCCAACGAAGCTTGAGAATGATGTAGGCTGTAGAACGGTCTAAGCTTTGTTGTAGATGTCATCAAGGATCATTTTCCATTGATAAGGAACTGTGGAAAGGAGTTTCATGCTTGTTGTTTCCGGCTGTTAAGAGAGGATTTGTATTCAATGATTTTTGAACTCGGTTGCTATGGATAATAGGAGATAGGAGGAGATGGAAAACTGTGCCTTAAAACTTGCATTCTTGTTTTTTTTTCATCGTAAAATATGTCAATTCTACAAAATCCAAAGGGAAACACGACCAACAAAAAAATCAATTACGTTTCCTTCTCTAGTTATGTATATAAAAGTTCTATTAATCAATTTTTATTATTAATAGATTTACCAATGATTATAGTAAGCACAAAATTATTCTAGAAAATAAATATTAATGGGCATATGCATACTTATATTGTCAATATAAGCTTGATAGCATTTTTGATATTTTTACAATGCATTTTTTCTTTTGGTTATGACATTTACTGATTAAATTTATTAAGATTAATTAAAGGAATAATAAGATTTTCAATGTTTTTCCTTTTCTAACTTTTAGGAACCATATCATTTACTTTTGACAAAATTATCTAATTATGTTTCGAAAATCTTGATAAAATATAAATATACTTATCGTCCGTCAGTCGATTTAAACGAACAACATGTTACGATTGTCTAATAATTGCTATCAATCTGTTCGTCTTACGAGAGAACATATTTGAGTGTAGACACACAGAGCAGATGTACAGACATCTTATCCTATAAGGACCTAGATGAATATATCGAAAATAAATATCTTAGCTGCTCTGGTTTAGGTTTGACATAAAGAGAAAACAAAATTTTTTTGATTTTCCATTTGATTCTACTAAAAGATGAGTCATAAAGTTATTTTTTTTTTTCATTTCTTGTCAAATGTGTAACAATGATCATTTTGTTTTTAGAAAAGAGCGAGAGAAACCAAGAAAATTGACGATGAAAGAGCCACTTTTCTGTGAAAAAGTAATAGTATCGTATTTAATTTTCATGTAGGCTTTCATCTGATTAAGCCCATTTTATTTTGTAAAATTTAATTATAACCATGAGAAATACTTCTAATAGTTTTTTTGCATAGATTTGAATCTAACATGTATTACCAACAAGCGAGTGCGAATGATAATATTCTCACGAACTTATCTCATAGGGAAAATATAATGTAGCCAGATTGTGACGTCATCGTCACTTATCAATATAGAAAATGAAAGACACTTAAAACTGCTTAGTTAAATGAATTGGTTAACATGGGATATAAATATATCAGATAAATATATATTTTTCTTTTTCTTCGAAACAATTTTAAAAAAATCTTAGTTCATTTTTTTAATTTCTTCTGTATTTCTTTTTTGATTGAAGTCTTTTCATAAAAGACTATAATTATAATTATTATTGAATTGTCCAAAACAAAACGTACTTAATAAGATGAAAACCTAAATGAAAATAAAATATGATACTATTACTTTTTCACAGAAAAGTGGCTCTTTCATCTTTAATTTTCTTGATTTTCTATCGCTCTTTTCTAAAAACAAAATGATCATTTTTACATATTTTACAAGAAATGAAAAAAAAACTTTATGACACATCTATTAGTAGAATCTAAATGGAAAATCAAAAGTTTTGTCCTCTCTTTTTGTCAGACCTACGTCAGGGTAGCTAAGATATTCATTTTCAAGATATTCATCTAGGTCTTTATACGATAAAATGCTTGTAAATCTACTCTGTGTGTCTACACTCAAGCATGTCCGACCTCGTTAGTCAACGTATATATTATAATATGCACATAATTTGTTACAAGTTAATTAAAATGTTTATGAAAAGAAGAACCTTGAATTGCTTATTATTGATCATCTATTGACTTGATCACACATAGATTAGAAATTAGACGTTTAGATTTTCTTGTATATGTATTTTATATAAAACCAATATTTCACCAATAAAATGTACATTGTTTTTTAAAGAGAAACTGTGATATTTGAATCGCTATGCTGGTCTTCAAATCAAAGTTCTCATAAAACAAACTGCTGATATAATTGTCTAGTATGTTTTTACTAGATAAACTGTGTTTGACCTGTTTTTTGCTTAAAAGTGAAGGATACGAATTTTATTTAGTGAATTTCGTTAGAATAATAATAATAACTTTTGGATTAGCTAAGTTTCAATTTATATTTCAATATGCTTCACAAATGGAACAAAAAAATAGAAAAAAGTTGCCGAATGATTATCATGAAACTTTGCTATATGAAATAAATGTCTTTTCTCTAATGATTGGAAGGTAAGGGTGGATATCGACATGCAATGCGCATCTCAATATAATGACTTCTACAAAGATATCGCATCCACATCCATGTCAGTTCCACCAAACAACATCTTTGATAAAAGTGAATAGATAAATATGTTCATACTTCTGTTTAAATAGAATTCATGCTAGAATGTCCTTGGAAAAAATGTCCTGGACGAAATGTCCCCGAACTTTCGTCCTTGGAAAAATGTCCTTCGAAGCAAATATCCTTGATAAAAATGTCCTTTAGAAATGGTCCCTCGTCTGAAAATGTTCTTCATATTGACTTGAAGATTTTTAAATAAAATGTGACTGCAACGTAGATGACGCGGGTGTGGGAGGGTGTGAGTGTGAATGTTGGTTTTCTTTTCACGTACACATCCACACCCTCCAAGAAAAAACTAAGTAAATTTTATACTCATTTGTTTGGTTTATTTTTGGTTGTTTGATACTTGTACGTTCGCTCGACGTATATTGACTTTGTAATGACTTGATGTTTGACCTCATTTCTCTTCTTTCTGTGTACAATTAGACAAGACAGTTCAGTCGTGTACATATTCATGATTGTTCTAAAAATTAATGAAGATACTCTATTTATAGTTTTCAAAGTGCGTTACATATCACGTCATTGAAATGCATTGAAAGTTAAAAGAATTCAGAGATTTACTTAATAGAATATGTTTTTCGTTTAAATACAGAGGAATCTATTTCCCTTCGTTTTCGTTTTTAGATTAAATCAGAATAAAACTAGTAAGTTATTGTATTGTGTATGTGCAATCATAAGAGGAGAACTTGAAGCAATGATTGATAGTAGCTGATTGTATCCTAACAGATCATTTGATAATTGCACTTTGAGTTAGCAGCCTATGAGTGTGCATATTGTTTCACAATTAAGAAGTCAAATATGTTTATTACAGAAATAGAAATGATATATTGAACTGTATCTTAACAAGGAATCATTCTGTAGATTTAATTCTCGAAATTATTCATCAAAATAATCAGTAGTTCTTTTTTGTAAATATTCCTCAAAAACATGAGCAAAATTTGAAATAGATGTATCATACAATAATATTTGAAAAATGCACTATTTTCATATATTATTGTATGATACATCTAGTTAAAAGAAAATTCAACAATGTTTTCTTTAAAAAAACTCACATTTTTATTTACAAATTTCGATAATAAAACGCCGAACTTGTTAAATAGATTTATATTTTCTAGTAAAGTCATTAAAATATCAACATAAAAATTATTTTTTCATCGCTACTTCTTTCGTTTAACCGATAAATGCATTTCTTTGACAAAAACTTGCAACATTTGACAAAGCAAATTATATCCTGAATGCTTCGCCACGTTCCACATCTTGTCTGAAGTATATTAGCATTTTTCAGATGAAAATAATTGTTTTTCTACAGAGAAAGAACATGTTTTTACAAAGAAAATTCCAAAGAAATTAGAACTCTAAAAATTCTTTAGGTTATCTTTCTCAATATTTGTTTTTGTTGAGACATTATAGATATATTCATTGCAAATGTCAAACATTACCGATTCCACTATTGCTAATTACGAGGCATTTTGGTGTACATTTGTTGCTCTCCTCAATCAGAATATCTCAAGATATGGTCTAGGTTTTATATGGCTTATCTGAAACTTTGGATCAATTGTTCATTGTTTTTTCTTTCGTCAAACAAATCTTCGCAAGAATCCATGTGTTATGTATTTACTAGCTTCTACTGCCTCCCAATTTGTAACGTTCAACTTTACTCTTTTCACCAGAATGCTTCAATATGGTTACAATGTTCAATCAGTTAATACTGTCCTTTGGTATTGTAAATTCCGCTTTTATTTTTTCTATATTTTTGTTGCCACTGCACATTATTATATTATGTTGGCATCAATCGATCGTTTTTTTTGCTAGTTTTTCTGATATTTACTGGCGTCGATGGAGTTCATCAAAAAACTTCTATGCGATTAATCACTGGTAGTTTTTTATTTTGGTGTTTAATGCACATTCAAGTTCTTGTTTTCTATGAAATTCAAAATGATAGTTGTTCATTGCGAACTGGTGTTTATGGTATTTTCTTCAACGTGTATTTGTGGATTGAAAGTGGGATATTTCCACCATTGATGATGCTCATTTTTGGATTTCTTACATTGAATAATATTCGAAAAAGCAAACGAAAAACAAGATCATTAACAATAGTTGATGCTGTTGGACCTGGACAATTTACTGGAATGTCAAGAAAAGATTCACAATTTTCTAAAATGTTATTTAATCAAATATGTCTTTAGATTATTTTAAATATTATTAACCCTTGCTACTTTCTTTATCGAACAATAACAATGCATAATACCAAATCAATTCTTCATTTAACAGTTGAATCATTTATTATTCAGACATGAGTTTAATCAATTAATTCGAAAGAAAATATTACGTCATTTTTCATCAAATAGAACTCTTACAAATAACATATAATTCGAGTTATTCTTTAAATTAACTTCACCGATCTTCTAGAAACATAACTAACGTAGATATTTAAATATAGTTAATCGTATTGTCATTTTGTTCTGTATTATGATGTCATTTGTTTTCTCATATGTCTATCTATGATTTTAAAATAGAAATTAGTTGAATAAAGTAAATTCAAATCAATTATATTTATAACACTTCAAATGAAACAATAATAAGTGAGAAAATCAGAATTGATTTCGTTGCTTAATGACATGATGGTGAACGTTGTATCAATATAATTGATTTTAAAATTTATCTATCTAATAGTTATTTAAAAAATAAGATGAAACAGCATTAGTTCGTTCATGATGAAAACAATTTGATTGCGACCTTTTAAATGTAAGACAGAAGTTTTATGATTAATCTTCGTCTATTCTAAAGATAAGAAATTCTTCTTCAATTCAATGCATATAATTTCTTTTTAAGATTAAGATACTTTCCATGAGAGAAATCAAAGTCTAATTTATTTTTATTTTTTCTTGTACAAATACAATGAAAAACTCTCAAGTTAGAAATTTCATAAGTTACAAAACAATTTCATTTAGAATTCTACTGTTGATTTTTTGCATCGACATTGGAAAAAGAAGACTATTGTAGTACGTGCAGCAGCAAACCTCCAATTAAGTCGTCTGCCTATCTTAGCTTCATTGAAACTAATGAAACAAAATCCGTTTTATATCAAGCACACCCGCTTAATAGATTTGCATTAATTAATCATAACCCCAATCTTCTCTCCAGGATAAAAAGCCACGATCTGCTATTATAAAAATTCACACCGCTCTTCCAAAGATGGCCTTCTATTCGCTAATTACAAAGAAATGGCTGCCAGATGTTACAACTTCTCAGGTCTGCTAGCCTTTCGAAAAACGACTTTGAAACACTCGCAGTCGTCTATTTTGACGAAGTTTAATAAGTATATCGACAGAACAATTCTGGTGAGTCGGTCTGTGCAAACTCAAATTGATTAAATCGATCTTTTTCAAAGTGTTTTTCAGAAGAAAGAAAAACAAATTTTGAACTTAATGATGTAAATAAAATTTCAAAAGTAATATAATATTTTATTAAAATTTTCTGCAATATAAAAAAATGAGCAAAAAGTTTTAATAGTTAAAATTTCTCTATATCAATACATAATATTAATTTCTTATGAAAATTTTTTTCAAATATGAATTCTTTCTATTATTCTAATTTTATTTTAGAAAATTCTATATCCGCTAGTTCTTCTCTTTCCGTCGATTGCTTCGTGCCGAAGTCTTAAATAACACTCGTAAAATAACTTTCTAAGTTTATCAATGATCTTATTACGGGCAATCAAGTATTTGCTGATGATGACAAAAAAAGAAGAAGATTATTGTGCCTTCGTGAATAGCTTAATATGCTCGATCATGAGCCTGATAAAACTAGTAAGAGTTACGTTAATTTGAACGTTCACAACAAAAATTAATGACGAACGATTCAAGATTTGTGTTGCAGTATCTGGTTCTCTTAACAAACCTAATTTATTTAGAGAGAGACTAACTAAAGTCTCTGATGTAAACCTTCGCGATCGAGTTAGAAGTACTGTAATATTTCAAAAAATCTTTTCTAATCAAAACTATTTACTATCATCAAATCATTAAAGTGATACTGGTTGATTTACTGAGACTTTATGTTAAAAAATAGAGTTTAGTTTGCTAAAACCGTGTTATATGTTCTTTTCTATCTACACAATTATAGAATATTTTGAATTTGTGAATAAATTCTATTGAAAAATAAATTTCGTAGAAAATGATTTTTCATTCACAAGTAAATTCTTCGAAAAAAATTCTCTAGTTTTCCTCAGAATAAATCTCTAAAGCATATAATACTGTATTTAGTTTGTATTGAACATCATGTAGAAATAAATGCAAAATTATTTATTATTAATCATGCACAATAATAATTGTGACTTCTTCATAAATACTAAAGAATCTCACAGAATTAATAAAATTCCTTCTCAGTTATACTTAAATAATTGATTATTGTAAATAGCTGACAAATGAAATTAACTAATACATATGATCTTCTTTTATTTTTATTAATGATCATTGATATATCAAAGCAAATGATATTCAAATTGATATGAAGATCTCAATAATAAACAATAACAATTCGAAAATAATAGTAAGAAAAGGATATGTATTTTTATTTTTACTCAAGAAGAAAAAAATTCATCTGAACGATACTATTGTCTTATTTCAATGTCATGGTACAAATGTGTTCACGACATAGTTTCACTCATGGACATTTGATAAAAAATATCCGTTACTCTTTTCAAAACTCTTTATTATTTAATTCTGTTGCTGACTATATGGACGGTTTAACAATAAATTCTGAAACAATGATTTGTTTGTAGATTTTTCTGAAATTTTGAGGTACTATCATATATCGTATCCATTGTCTTCCAAAAAACAAGATAATCCCTTAAAAAAAAACACATTTGAAACATGAGTTATTTTCCCTTATCATGAACAAAGAAGTCAAATTCATTAGTATGCCTTATTACTGATGAATATTTTTCGGGCTGATGTAACATAATTCAAGCATGTTTGCTCTGAAAAAAAATGAAGAGCAACAAGTAATACTTGTATATATTTAAACCATATTTTTTGCTTCTTCATCACAATTATTGTGCGGTCAAAAGTATATTATATTAAATTATGAAAATATGAGAGCTTTGATAAGCGAAGCAATAATAATGTTACATATATATATATATATCTTTTATCTAACTAGCTTCATTATTTAATTAATCACTCTACTAGAAAATAGAAACTGTTGGAATTTTTTCATTTTCTATATTTTTCTATTACTGGCAAGATTTTCAAAGAATAATATCTCTTGAATATAAATAATGCTGTCTAATTCAGCATTGTTTTTTCAAAATAATATAAAAGATATAACATATATTGACAAAAATATTGTTCTTTATTCATCAAGGTGGCATACGTTTTCTTTTTGTGTAATCAAATAAATAAAAATGACGTATTATCAAGTATTTAAGTGTACGTTTATCTAATGATAAAAGATGTCCCATGCAGTCAACTATAAGTCATAGACAAACAAATAAGAAAAATTCGAAAATTTATTTTAAAAGACTAATCGGTTTCTTTATTTTAATAAAGTCGATATTGCGTATGATGTTAAATTAGTTTTACACAAAAGAAAAAAAAAAAGAAAAATTTGGAATCAATGTGCTCGTAAAACTTAAATACATACACGAAAAAAAAAAATCAACGTTATAATAAGAGGAAAAAGACAAGATAGTTTTATTGTTCTTCGAAAACAGATTAGGAGAAATATCGAGGTAGCTTGAGTTTTTATTCTTTTTTGTTTATATACAAAAAAAAAAAAAATAATAATAATAGAAGACTATATGTATTAGTGTTTTATTATATTAACATGCACATCCTTCTTTCTTTTGTTGTTCTTCTTGTTGTGGAATACGTATTGGCATTGGAAAATCAGTTTGTTGATCGATTTCTTTTTCACGTGCTAATGCATTACGTGCAACTGTTTCAAATGCTTTTTCAACATTAATACCTTCTTTAGCTGATGTTTCAAAATATGGAATGTTATTTTTTTCTAAACGAAAAAATAAATAAATTTGATTTCTATTCAAATAATTCTATATACCTTGACACCAGCTTTGTGCTTTACGTGTTGGAATCTAAATTGAAAACAAAATTTTAAATTACAAAATAAAAACAAAACAAAAAAGAACTTTACCATTCGATTTTCTAAATCGATTTTATTACCAAGTACCTAAATGATAATGATAGAAAATTTATTTTTCATTTTGTTTTTCTGACATAAAAAATAATGACATACAACAAATGGAAAGTTTTCTGGATCACGTGGTCCTGCTTGAATAAGAAATTCATCTTTCCAACTTTCTAATGATTTAAATGATGTTGGTGATGTTACATCCATGACAAGAACACAACAATCAGCACCACGATAAAATGCAACTCCTAAACTTTGAAAGCGTTCTTGACCAGCTGTATCCCAAATCTATAAAAAGAAACTTCAGTTTTTTTAATCTAATTATCTTAAAATCTATTATGATTACCTGCATGGTAACAAGACGATCATCAATTTGTAATTCCTTGGTTAAAAAATCGGCACCAATTGTTGCTTTATATTGATTTGAAAACTAAAATTAATAATTTAATATAAATAGAACAACAACAAGAAACTTTATTTTTACTTTTCGATTAACAAATTGATTCATTAATGATGTTTTACCAACACCTGAATCACCTAATATAATTACTTTAAGTAAAACTTTTTTTCGTGATGCCATTTTTTTAAATTATCCTTGATTTATTAATTTTCAAAAGAAAAAAACAATGAAAAGATCTAAAAATAAAATATATACATATGTTATCAAGTTTTATTTCAAAATAAATAAATAAATATGTATACTTTTTGTTTTTGTCATTATCAACATTGATAAAACATCAATGAAATCAATACTAAATGATTTTGCGTCGCAATCGTTTCTCTCTTCCTCTCTCTCTCTCTCTCTCTCTCTCTCACACATCTATGAATGCTAATAGTCATCAGACGATCCGTACATTATTCATTTTGAATATTCCATGAAAAAACATTGGTTGGAAAAGAAACAGAAAAAAAAAGCAAATGTTTTTACTTACATATATTACTTACACTGCTAGTAGGCCTACCCTAGAGGACGCAACGTTAGCTGTATGCGTGATTCTCATTGTGATTTAGTAATGAATGTGAGTCATTATCAGCT